GGCCCTGCCCAGAGCGGCGGCCAGGACTGCCGAGTCGCTTCGGCCAAGGTCTGGGAGCAGAGCGGAGAGCAGCAGCTTGCGGACCCCAATGCGATTCTCTTCCAATTCGGGGCGCACACTGGCCTTCTCTAAAGGCGGCCTTCGCATCTTTGGACGGAGGCCCGCTCACTCTCGGCCCCAGGTAGCGGTGGGCAGCGGAGGGGGACCCAGGGGCCGGGACCCCGCGTCCTGGGCGGGACGGGTGCCGAGGCAGGAAGGGGCGGGGAGCCAGAGGAAGGGCGGGAGGGCCAGTCCCTTCCCCGCGAGGCCGAGGCGCCCCGGAGCCATGGCCGGCTTGAAGTTCGGGGCCACAGTCGCGGCGCTGGTGCTTCTGCTGCTGGGTGCGGCGCGCCTATCGCGCGGGGCAGGTGAGTGCGCACTCCTGGCGCCCCCGGTGCGGCCTGGTGGAGGCCCCGCGAGGCCGAGGCGCCCCGGAGCCATGGCCGGCTTGAAGTTCGGGGCCACAGTCGCGGCGCTGGTGCTTCTGCTGCTGGGTGCGGCGCGCCTATCGCGCGGGGCAGGTGAGTGCGCACTCCTGGCGCCCCCGGTGCGGCCTGGTGGAGGCAAGGGAGAAGTGCCGAGGTCGGGGGGCGCGGACAGGCAGAGCGGGTCCCTGGAACGCCCGGTGTTCTCGGCCGGCGCCCGGACCTGGCGCGCCCGGATCCCCGCACGTCGCCCAGGGCGCGGGCGCGGCACGTGGGAGCGCCCCCAGCCGGGAGCACTGCGGGAAGACGGGTCGGGTATGGCCCAGCAGGACCGGAGCGCGGAGAGCGCGGAAGCCGAGCCCGGAGGGTCTGCGCGAGGCGGCCCCTTCGCGTCTCCCCAGTCCCCAGGCCCTCACCAGGCTTGTCTCCGTGGAGGAGGCTCCTGCGCGCCCGGGGCCTTTGCCGCGCTTCTCGGGGACACCCAGGCGGCGCGGGTGAGAGCGCTGGCCTCTCCAGGCCCGGGCCGGGGAGAAGGTACAGGGAGAGAGGAGCTGGACGCCTCTTTCCCGGCGCTCGCTCCACTCCCTCTCTTGAAACTCCGGAGCAGGAACTCAAACGGGAGAGCGCCCCAAGCCTAACCCGCCAGGTCCCCGCGCCCCCGGCCCTGGCCACCCCCTCCTCGCCCCTCTGCTCGATCGATCGCTGATGCGTGTGAATTTCCGGTTGTTCCGGCTGAGGGGGAGGGACCGCGGTGCCCGGCCAGGCCAAGAGACGCCGTGCGCCCTGGCGCGATGGGACAGCGCTCAGAGCCGGGTCTTGTGAGAACCCACAGAGGCCTGTCCTGGGGCCCCCAGGGTCCTGGTTCTACAGTGGCGCGACCCAGGCCGCTTGGGCTTTGCTACCTGCACTGCACGTAAGGGGGCGTTGTGTTTGGCAGGTAGGCAAGTTTAGGGGAAGGCCAGGTTGACACAGGAGAGGGAGCTTGTGGTTCCTCTGTGTACCGGCAGGTGGCATTGCTGAGTGTGCCTACTCAGGTAACTGCAGAGGATGCGTCGAAGAGTAAACGCGGCTTAGGGCGTGCAAACGTGTGGGAGAGGAATGTGCGCACTCCGGAGCCGTGTTGGCACAGGAATGGGGGCCGGCCGCGATGGTTCGGTCAAGGCTCCCTGAGTGGCAGAATGGCAGCCTGACTTGGGCTGGCTCGCTCACTCTCCCTTCTTGCGTCCCGGGGAATGCCATCTTGGACAGCGGTAGCTCCAACCCAGTGGAGTCCCTTCTCTCCAGGAAGTTCTTGAGGGCTGGGCTGGCCCCTGGGTGTAGCCGGCGAAACCCAGGAGCGTTTCCTTTCACTTTCTTAAAGTCCACCCTTTGGTCTCAGGGGCAGGCCCTGGGAGGCCCCCGTGGCTTCCCTGGCTGGAGCGGTGGCTGAGTGCCCTGCTGTGCCTGCACTCCTGAGGTCTAGCTGGCGGAGGCCTTAGAGAAGTTTCTGGAGTGTCCTGAGAGAGTGGAGAGGGCTGGGGCCCTGGCGCGGTGGAGTTGCCGTATGGACCCCTGAACTCCCTGCAGACTCTGCACACTGACGCCGGGTTTGCGCCCACGCAGGGCTGGCGTGCAGGAAGTCGTGACTGAGCGACGCTGGTCTTCCCTCCCTCTCCCCCCTTCCCGGAGTGAAGTACTGGTTATGTCGGAGCCATAGCCTCATTTGAACCCAACTTGGGGGCCCAGATGGGGCACAGGGGTAACGCAGTGGTGTTCTACAAGGCCGACCTCAGCTGCGGAGGTTCCTAGTTGGCACCCACAAATCCCCCGAACCCACTGGGCACGTGTGCCATGGCCCAGGGAGGGCCGACGCTGGGGATGGCCATGGCAGGAAAGACCTTGTTGGGGTGCCCGTCTCTCTGTGTCTCTCTCGGTCTCTCTCTCACTCATGGAAGAAAGACCATTTTTAAATAAGTCAGCGTTGTTGCTTTCCAAGAGCCACTCCGTAGCAGAGGCTGTCAGAGGCCCGTTCCACCTGCCGTTGTCCTTGCCACACGTGAGCAGGCTGGTCAAACGCCGTGTTCGCCCACCCCGCGGGAGCCGGGCGCCCGTCCCTCAGGGCAGCTGAGCAGCACCGCTGTTGTCAGGATGTGTAGCCGGCAGGACTGGGGAGCCCCCGCCTGTACCCCACTGACTGGCGTGACTCAGGTCAGAGGAGACAGCCACTGTGACCATCGGTGGTGCACTACGCACCAGGCAGCTCCAGGTCACCTCAGGCCGCCATCTCCCCCCGGGGCTGGGCCCCAACGGCCCACATGCCCTTCCGTGGGTTCTCCCTGGTTATCAGTGTGGGCAAGGGAATCAACAACACTAACGAAAATGTCTTCAGTAGCCTATAGCTATTGTTTTTAAAAATGGTAGTGAGTAAAACCAAGATGGGAGAAAAACCATATGAGCAAGCCACCATGTTCATGTTGGTGCATTCTTCGTGTGTGTGTGTGTCTTCTTATCTGTGTGTGTGTGTCTTCCTGTGTGTGTATGTGAGAGTCTTCTTATCTGTGTATGTGTGTGTGAGTCTTCCTATCTGTGTGTGAGTGTATGTGTGTGTGAGTCTTCCTATCTGTGTGTGAGTGTATGTGTGTGTGAGTCTTCCTATCTGTGTGTGAGTGTATGTGTGTGTGAGTCTTCCTATCTGTGTGTGAGTGTATGTGTGTGTGTATGTGTGTGTGTGTCTTCTTATCTGTGTATGTGTGTGTGAGTCTTCCTATATGTGTGTGAGTGTATGTGTGTGTGTGAGTCTTCCTATCTGTGTGTGTGTGTGTCTTCCTATATGTGTGTGTGAGTCTTCCTGTGTGTGTGTGTGTGAGTCTTCCTATCTGTGTGTGAGTGTGTCTGCGTATATGTGTGTGTGAGTCTTCCTGTGTGTGTGTGTGTGAGTCTTCCTATCTGTGTGTGAGTGTATGTGTGTGTGAGTCTTCCTATCTGTGTGTGAGTGTATGTGTGTGTGTGAGTCTTCCTATCTGTGTGTGCATGTGTGTGTGAGTCTTATCTGTGCGCCTCTTATCTGTGTGTGTGAGTCTTCCTATCTGTGTCTGTGTGTATGTGTGTGTGAGTCTTCTTATCTCTGTGTGTGTCTTATCTGTATGTGTGTATGTAAATAAAAAATGAGGTCACCGTCCCATTGTGGGGCTTTACCCAGTCCCTGTCGTTAGACATTTCAGTGTCCCCAGTTTTTCCTGTTAAAGACAGAGTCTGTCCAGCAACTGGGGCCAGCCTGTGCCGATCCCGACGGCCCGGCGGTGAAAGGGCACCGGGAAGCAGACCGTTTAATGGCATGAGTGGTGCCCAGTGTTCTGTTTGGTTTTGTTTGAATTTGCCACGAACACACGTACTCAGTGAGGGTGGCGAGAAAGCACCCCCCGGGGAACGGCCACGCTGTCGTCCTCTCTCCATTCTCCTCTCCGGATTTGGGGCACGCACGCACACCTGCTTTTTCAAGCTGTAGTGTCTGGGACTTGAACTGCGCAGCCAGCCATGTGGGACCCCGCCATGCCACCGGCTGGCCCGCAGTCATCGTGTTGCTGAGGGAATAAGTGTGTAAAGCGTCGTGCCGTCTGGGTGTGCCCCGCGTGTGTTCCTGTGCTGTGGCGTTCTGTACGCGCGGGGCCGTCCTGTGACTGCGGAGAGCGTGTCCTGTTTTGCAGTGCCGCGGTCGGGGTGCGGTCGGGGTGCGAATGCCTGTCCCCGCTCCCCCAGGCTCTCACCACGCTCCAGCAGCACTTCCCTCCCTCTGCAGCAGGAAGGTTCTGAGGGAGGGGAGGACCCACAGCAGCTGAAGGCACTAGTAAAACCACGGCTCCTTTCGCCAGAAAACAGAACGCAGTCCCTTGGCTTGTAACACAAGTCTCACCTGCATCTTGCCCAGCTGTGCTCAACGAGCTTTGGCCTGGGCAGGTGGAAGGGAGGAGGGGGGAGCAGAGCTGGCCGGTCAGAGGAGCCCTGAGTGAAGTCAGGTGGGTGGGGCAGTGGGACCAGACCACCGCTATGGGGAGGGGCTGTGCCCAAGGCTGTCTGCCCTAATGGTTAGGAAAAGTGCATACCTTTTAATTATCACCATATATTATACAAATTATCTCACAATGATCTCAAACCACTTCCTACAGCCTTGCAGCTGGCCGCCACCTGCCCCCAGGCAGCTGGCAACACCTAGACAAGCAGGCCTGAGAATCAGGTCCCCTCCCTCCCCTTGTACTCGGGGGTTTGGGGCTTACGTCTGGCCCATCAGCTCTTCTTGAGAGAGAGATTTTTTTTTTTAATATAGATATGACCTTTATTGAGCCTATCCACCAAAGTGGATATGATGCCTGTACAGAACCAAATGTTCGTTACTCTAACTTCCGCAGCACAGTGAGAATCCAAACACTTGTTTAAAAACAGCCCATTCACTCAGAACCACTCCTTCGGAATCCATAGCTTCTTCGAAGCCACAGTAACCCTTAAATACGGCTAAGACCCGAATGCAGAAATTCGGCTGGTTGGAAAGCTAATTACACTTCCAACTTGCTCAAACAGAATTACAAAAAGGCAAAATTGTGTTTTCCACAGATGCGGTCCCCTGGAATCGCCAGCACTGGACGGCTGGGCGAGTGCTCCAAGCCCCGAGATAGTAAGGAATCCAGGAGCCTTAGGCAGTCTTCTCTTGTCCCTTCTTCCCGATCAGAGATTCGTGGATGTGTGGGATAACGCCCCACCAGCGGTGGTAGCCTTGATGAGAGCCCAATTCCTCATCTCCACGAATAGCGAGTTGCCAGTGGCGAGGAGTAATTCGCTTTGCCTTTCAGTCTCCTGATGCATTTCCTGCCAGTTCAGGTACCTCTGCGGTGAGGCACTCCAGGACCGCAGCGCTGTACACAGCAGCCGCCGCCCCCACGTGCAGGCTGGTCGTCCTAGATTTCAGGTGTGGACGAATACGGCCCACCGGGAACTGCAAGCCGGCCCTCTCCGAGCGGGAAACCGCCTTTGTCTTGGCCTTTCCGGAGTCCTTCCCAGCCTTACCCCGGCCATTTCGAATTCTGCTGCAGCTCACGCGAGGGAGGCAGAAAAACAGCTAGTCAGACACACCGTGAGATGCCACCAGCTACTCCTTCGTGGCAGCGCGGTTCAAACTGCCGAGAGATTTTTGCTATAGGGCGCATGTGCTCGCTGGAGAGACAGAGAGACAGAGAGATAAAAACCAAGGAATCACCCCCAGGGGGGATGGCCACACTACAATCCCTTCTCCATTCTCCTCCCTGCTTCTTAGGTGCGTACACACACACACACACACACACACCCCTGGTGTAATTTCGAAGCCACCAGGTCGGGTTCTCGAACCACAGTCAACCATATGGGAGTCCAGCTACGTAACTGGCCTATGAGCTTTTTAAATGACTCCCGCTGTTGTCTGTCGTAATGCACACGTTAACTCAGGTAACTGACCCAGTAACTCACCAACCGAGGGTCTGCTTCTGAGTGTTGTACCTGTGAGTCCCCACGTGACACAGTGGTCTCTCCCAAAAGCCGGACATTCTGTGAGAGGACACCAACAGTGCCCTGGGTCTATTATTTCATGTGGGGGACAGTCCAACGACATAGCCACGCAAACTCCCCGACAGTCTCGGGCACGAGGAACGCGCTGGTACAGCCCTGCAGCCGGGCCTGCTAAACGCAGAGCACACGCCGTGGCGGGCCTGCCAGCTGGTCCGTGGGCTCGTTGACCAGCCGTTGCCTGGTGTGCCCGAGTCACCACAGCTCCCTTTGCTGGCTCAGGTGTCCCCACGGAGCCTGCTGTGCTTAATCGTATTGCAGCTGGGGTGGGAGCTAGGCCTTTGTGCTCGCGGCTTTCTCGAGTTTGGTTGCGTCGTGTTTGGAGGTGTAAATAAACACGTTTCCGAGACATTGGCCACAGACAGCTTGGATGGGGGAGCGTAAGTCTCCGGCGTGGTGACGAAACGGGGCTGCTTTCTCCAGAGATGGCCGTGAGGTGTTCTGGGGTAGCCGGCGTCTCGGCTGACCTCCCTGCGCCAGGGAGCACAGAGGGGGAAGTGACTGGCCAGGTCACCCTGCGTCGCTGGCTTGTGTGGTGTCAGGATGGCAGCCGGGGGTCTAGTGCCAGAACCCAGCCCCAGCACTGCGCTGGCCCACACGGGGGGCTCGAGAAGGCAGCATTTCCAGTCATATTAGAGAGGGCGTCTACACTCCAGAAGAAAAGCTAGGTGACTTCTTCAGGCCAGGCCATTACGTGGGGCGGCAGGAGGTCCTCACGCCTAGGTCTTCGCTCCCCACAGAAGCGGGGATGCCAGAAACCCACCGCGGGGGCTGCCGGTGTGGGCGCGAATGACGGAAAACTGGAAAGCTGCCAACAGGGCACGTGGATTCCAAGTAGGCCCGTGGCCTGGGGTGTCCATGCACAGGGTGGGAGAGACCGCCTGGTGGTCCTTGCCTCTGCCCCACGCGTGGCCTGACACCTTCCCTGTAGCCACGCCCGAGTCTCTGCCTGTCCCTTTAAACGAGCGTCCACATGGGAGTGGCTGGGGTGTGGCCCGATTTTGCAGAAACAGCTCTGTTCCTGGAAACCAGCAAAGGGGAAATAAGCCGAAAATAATGGGGAGCTGCCCGTGGTGCAGTGAGGGAGCGGGTAGTGTGTTCAGGGGTCGCGGGCTCTGCTCTTTCCACGGCCCACGTGAGCGCAGAGGACACTGGGGGGCAGGAGCACCACCCGCAGCCGGTTTCCCCAGGGAAGCAGCATTCTCCCCTGGGGTGGCTCAGGTGGAGGACGGTGTGGTGAGAACTCTGTATTGTACCCCCCCGAATCGGTGTCACCTCACAGTGTCCCAGCTTGGAGCCTGGCTGGTTTCAGGTGGAGGACGGTGTGGTGAGAACTCTGTATCGTACCCCCCGGATCGGTGTCACCCCACAGTGTCCCAGCTTGGAGCCTGGCTGTCTGTCCCTCTCCTTAGCAGTTCTGAATGTGTGATGGAAAAAGAGCCCTCTTCAATTCTCCTGGATGGAGCCAAAGCCAAGGGGCCCTCTGTGAGCCCGGGGATGGAAGAGCAGAGCGTTCTGGGTGAGACACGCCATCTCTGCAGAATGGACGAGGTGAAGCCTGCTCCCTCGCCTGGGACTAAGGGCAATCCCCTCAGCTTTCTGAGCCCGGGGACCGCGTGGACGGGCCGCGGGCTGTCGTTCGGGATCTGCCCGCTCGGCGACCGTGTGCGCTGCCCGTGAGAGGCTTCCGCAGGCCTTGGCAGCGAGCGGCCCAGCCGGGAGCCGAGCCAGCGCGCAGCGTCTAGACAGCCAAGCACCCGCCCGCACGGTTCGTCCACACAGGCTCGCCTGTCTCCGATCTGGAGGCGGGAGCACGAGGCTGCTCCAGACGAGGCTGTCTGGCCGAAACGGCGTGTGACCTGAGAAGCAATTACAGATACTCGGGGACCGTTCCGGGCATGTCGCAGAGATGCAGAGCTCGCGAGGTGCGGCCCCCCTGTGTGAAGGCTCAGGGCACCTCCTCGACCCAGCCTCGGTCCCTGTGCAGAACGGCCACCGGCCGTGAGGCTGCCAAGCAGCGAGGAGGGCGGCGTGAGTCTGTGCCCCTGGGTGTGCTGGAAGGCTGTGCCCTGCTGAGGTGCCCAGTCTGTGAGGCCCTGCCCGTGCGGGGGCCGTCCTCACTGCAGGCTGTCCAGCTGCGGGCCTCGCTGGAGCTGGGCCTTGGGGCACCTCCGAGGACATGCCCAGCCTCCCCCGTCGCCGTTTGCTTCTGGGTTCCCGCTCACTGCCGCCTGTCCCTTATCCTCGGACCACGCATCCCAGAGGGCTCCGACTCCAGGCTGGAAACGTGAGGGGGAGGGGGAGGAGACGTGGGAGGACCGAAGCTGAAGACCTCACGGGCTCCCAGGGGCCACTTCAGCTTTTGGGAAATGTCCTCGGACGAGCGCTGGAACTGGGCTCTGTCAGTCAGACCCTGACTCCAGCTCTTACTAACTGAGTGAGTGGGCACGTTACCCAACCTCCCTAAGACTCAGCGTGCTTAGTTACACCACGGGCCGGAGCGCCAGGCTGGTGGAGGCCGCGGTGACACGACCCGTGAATCACGAACCGCGGCGCCTGCTGGAGCGAGCCTCGGTTAATGGCAATGGTTTTAGCTGGTTATTTGCGTTGGGCCCGAAGAACTCCTAGATCTCCAGTAGGTAGATGGTCTGGACCCGAAGCAGCCTGACAGGTCCCTGGTGGGGAACATGCAGGCCATGGTCACCCCACCCCGTGTCGGCTCCTGCCCGTGCAGTGGGCCCTGGCACATGTGAGGGTACCCGGGGGACTTCCTGGAAGTGGAGCTGCTGGATTCAAAGCTGAACTTATTCTCAACAACACTAGAACCAGTTTTGAAACATCGTGAGCTGAGCACTCTACACATGAATATCCTGTCCGCCCAGCTGCTCGCCAGACCAGTCTTCTCAGCTTTGGTGTCCTGCCCAGTTCCTGTGAGGCCTGGAGGACTGCGGTGCCCTCTGACCAGGCGACCGGGGGACATAAGCCGAGCCTGGCCAGTCTCCTGGAAGCAGAGTGGAGGCTGGCAGGCTCTGGCCTCTAATCCCTGCTGAGACGAGTTATCCTGCCCCGGGACTTAGTCTTCTCGGGCACTTCAGCCTGGGCCAGCTCAGTCAGGAGCAGGTTCTTATCTGGTTGGAACGTGGGAGACATTTCCTAAGTTGTGTGCACTGAGTGCTTGGCCGTCTGCAGAAGCCCAGTCACCACCAGAGCAGCCGAACCATCGAGAAGACACCCTGCAGCCTCCCCGCCCTCTGCCTCTGTGAGAATGCAACCTCGGCTCTGGCCTGGAGCCTGGAACCAGGGAGCTGTTTCCTACTGGGTCTTCAAACTCTGGGTAAACACCCTCTCCCGGCCCTGGTGGTGGAGACAGAAGACAACCCAAATGTCCATCACTTAAAGCTGGTTGGATAGACCATGCGCAGCCGAACAGCGGGACGCCTGGCAGCCTCCTGCAAGAACAGGCCGCTCCGGAAACGGACTTGGGTCATCCCCGAGATTTATCGTGGAGAGAGAAACACGAGGCCCAGACAGTGGGCGTGGCGTGGAGCCTTCTGGTAAAATGAAATAAGGGTGGTGTGCAGAAAGGCACGTGCACGCGCAGCTCTAGGAGGGCACAGAGGAAACCGGAGGAGGGGTTGCCTCTGGGGACTGAGCCAGGTGAAGGGGGACGAGGATTAGTGTCGCTGTCCTAGTCTTCCGACATGTCTGTGCTCACGTAGCCCAGTGGCTCGGGGAAGCTGGCTCCCTCGTGCGTGTGCCCCAGGTCCGGCAGCTGCGTCTCCCCAGCGGCCACTCTGAACAGTTCACCTGAAGGAAGTAGCAGGTGTCCATCCCTGTTCCTGGCTGTCCCTCCCACCAGCCGCAGCCATGGCCAACCCCCCCGGCCTGCCTCTCTGGACTGTGGATGCGACGGTTAGGCTCCCGGGCTGGGCTGGTTCCCGGTTCTGGTCAGGAGGGCTCCTCTTGCTCCTGCTCAGATCTGGGCGAGACGGCCAGCCATGAACTCTCACCTACGTGTCGCTCTCCCTCCGACCCACTCACCTCCTGCCCAGGCACTGCAGCTGTACAGGGCTGCGGACGTGCTCTTTCAAGTGACACGCACAACGGTTGTCCCCATCCATCCCAGTTTAGGTTAGTTTGCTAGAGGGCACACACGCACACCAGAGAAAGACAGAGACAGAGAGGGAAAGCGAGAAGTCACCCCCAGGCGGACGGCCATCCTGCAGTCCCTTCTCCATTCTCCTCTCGGGATCTTGGGCACGCACACACACGCGCCCACGTGTTTTTCAAGCAGCCAGGACCAGGACCCAGACTGCGCAGTAGGTCACGTGGGACCCAGGCACCTCCACCTCCATGCCACCTGCTGGCCCCACGGCTGTTCCTGTTACCTTCTATGGTGGTAACTCAGACGGGCAGGCCTCACATCCCAGATAATAAATGCCTGTACCTGTCCAGACCTCGTCCCCACGCAGCTCAGCATGTCCTACCAACATGGCCACACCCGTCCCTGCCTGGTACCCATCGGTTATGACTTCTGTAGTTGCTATGTCTGAACAAAATACTGACACGGACTCGCTTAAAAAGGTGCCCACTCATTAACTCACCCTCTGGAGCTTGGACGTCCAGACGCGGGGGGTCTTTGCTCAGTGCCCCCCCAGGCTCACCCCACGAGGCTGGCCAGGCTCACTGCCCCCCCAGGCTCACTGCCCCCCTAGGCTCACCCCACGAGGCTAGCCAGGCTCACTGCC